GTCTTTTCCTGCAATAAACACATCCCTGTGGGAAGCCGGTGTCTGCTGTGTGGTTGCTTTAGAACCTGAGCTAGGAGCAGGCTGCTGTATACAGCTGGAAAGGGCAGGCAGAGCCTCCACAGGGTGTTTTTCTGCCCTGTGGCTCTTATTTCACACCGTGGAGCAGTTCAGCTAAAAGCACAAATAATAAACTAATGCCCGGTGGTGTTTAAAATACAGACAGAGCTCAGGATAGCCAAGCTGAAGAATAGTTACCCAGCCTTAGCACAGAGCCAGCTGCCGTGCAACAGCCCTGAAGGCAAAGCAGAGGTACAGGGGTACTGCTGGGGCCTTGGAGGGAGAAAAAAACCAAACAGGGGCCGTGTCTGGGACCTGCAAAAACCCCGGGGGGTAAAGGAGGAACTATGAACTATATGGTCTGCAAGCAGTTATTAATAAAAAGACAATATACTTAAAGTGGGATCAAATATTACCCGTGTCTTAACATTAAGCTTTATTCTCAGTTTAAATACATTCAAAAGTAAAAAGGATAAATAACAATAAAAACATGATTGGAGCACGAATTGTAACACTTAATCTGCCTTAACACACCCACAGGCTCAACCAATTTAGAATGAGAGCTTTACCTCTGCTATACAGGGATAATCTGCACCCATTTGTTCCAGTTCACTTCAGAGGGGAACACTCTTCCCAGCCTGAGGGTACAGTCTATCGTGGGCTCATAGTATATTGTTGGCACTTCACTCAGTTTGGGGTTGTTCAGTTGTTCTTCTATAACTGGCTGAGAAAAGAGTGACACCGGGGATGGCTTTCTCATGTAGAATCGTCTGATGCAACCAAGAGTTTCCAGACCCTGCAGGGGGGGGAAAAAAAAAAAAAATCACATATTTTAGCTTGAGAGTTACAGTGAAAAAACCCACACTGAATGCTGTTCTACCTGCAGTGTTCTCAGAAACACTGAACAACTTACACCAGAAGTGGCTTCACTCCACCCCTCGGAGACCCTGGGGACGGCAAAGGTTACAGCACAACAGTGCAGGTGCACAGAGCTGGATCTATGCCCCTTTGTGACATTCAGCACCACGGCTGACATCTGGCTACCGACACAGAACATGTTCAACAACAGATCTCAACAGGACAAGTTACAAATAATTTAAGGCTGGTATAGATGTAAATCCCAGACTTATGGTCAGTTCTTGCTAATGGGTTAGTATTCGTTCCCACAGCAACACCCAGCAAGACAATTTACGTGCTCTGTTTGCTGAAAACATCTGGTGTGTATCCAGTAATCTTATGTAGGTATGAATTTAGATTTACCAGTATTGGGTATATTATGCTCTGTCTACAGTTTCAAAACCAGTTCTTATCAAATTTATTGGTAGAGAAGTTATATTCAAGTTCTGCAGTCTGTAAAATGTACAGGTAACTGCTTTATTTTGTGGATTTGAATTAAAATCACCTAGGAATCTGTACTGCTCTCGCACACATGCACACCTCCTCCCTGTACACTCTGTACTGCGGATTTAAACCCACCCCTGATCCCAGCTACCCTCGTGGCAGTGTTGCTGTGCACAGGACATGGACACCTCGGAGGCAGGATGGTTGCTCAGTGCGTGACCAGCGGTACATGCAACTTGCACTGATACCAAAATGTCTGAGCCTTTGGACAGAAGCGTGGCGTACATCCACTGGAATATTAATTGCCAGCGTTGGCAGGGGAAGTCATGCTTATGGGAAGGACTGCAATATTGCTGCTATACTTAAGATCTTGAATCCTTATAGGAAGAAAAATATAAAGGTTTGATTTGCAAAGTAGCAGTGGTGGCAATCAAACTTCCAAGATGTGGGGAAAAAAATATGGGAAACTCAAACTTTCCCAGCATGTATTGTTTTATAATTAAGGATGTATGCCTTTAAGCAGTCTGTCAGGATGGAAGGTCTTATTTACAGTATTGTCTGGCACAGACACATTCCAGTCTGATTCTTATGTCAAAGACTCTCCATCTGAATGGTATACAAGGAAAAATTAAGATAAGCTCGATGGTGATTAACACTGCGTTAAACGGTCCAACTTGATATTCCACAGTGACAAGCCACCACTCCTACATAACCAACCAGAATTTCAGCTGCACGTACATCCGTTTCAGAAGCAAGCTCAGATTTTAAACTCAGTAATTGGTAATTTCAAGGATAGGTAAAGCAGGCTTCCTTCCTTCCTCATCATGAACAGTAACTTGCTCTGGCTCTGGTTAATTTGCACCAGAAGAAGGTTGTTTTTCATGGTTCATTGACAGCCCCATTTTCTGGGACTTCCAGCAAAGTAGTTCCTGACTCTCACATGTGGAAGCTGAGCCAGATTAAAGTCCACGCAGCTGATGACTGACGTACCTGCAGGATCTCCAAGACAGCAACCGGCTGCAGGACCCCGGTGTAGTGCTGCAGCAGCGTGCCCTCCGTGATGCCTGGTTTTGTCATGATGTGGTAGAGCACGGCTTCCATCATCCCCTTGCACACCGGCTTGTTCAGGTTCCCGTCCACAATCCTCCACGGTCTCCCAATGAAGCAGACGTTCTCGCAGGCCCTGCAAAAGGCAATTTAAATTCAGTTCTGTCAGGAATTATTCTTCTAGCTAGATTTCCATCATCATAATTTCTGCATAATAGAGATTCTCACTACACCCATTGCTGGTGTTTGCTCACACGCTGGGGTAAATTCTGCAGCTGCTCTGAGCAGAGACTGTGCTCATCTACTAGACAGTTCCACAGACCTGAAGTATGTGTGTTCACCACCCAAGAAGCACTTTTAAAACCATTATCCCACCCAACAGTTGCCCTGAGTCTTGATGACCAGGAAAACTTTATTACTAGCTCTAATGTCCTCCAAAAGTTATCCAGGGCCTGCTTCAATCTGCAACATGCAGCAACAGCACTCAGATAGGAAAGAAATTCCTCATTTTCAGCATTTTGGAGTCAAAAGACAGACCCTGCCTAGAAATTCCCATTTCCCATACTGCAGTTTCTCCAGGCCTTTCCTGGGCACGTGGCAGCTGGGAGTTTCTGGCACTGCACTTATTTGTGAAAAAATATCAGTTTTGTTCCTCTGATATTTGGAGCTAGTTGGTTTGGGGGAAAAAACATGTATCAGAGAAATTTCTTCATGCATACAAGCACAAGTAATGTTAACAAGAAAAATGGAGGAAAACATGGGGTTCCTCCATCATCAATGCTCACTGCCCACCAGAGCATAAAACTAAGGTTTCCAAATCATTTGCTTCCAGATATTATTTTGGTAGGGCTAAGTGTTCAGTTATTCCACAGACATCTCTGTACTCACCGGTCCCTGGCTGCCTGGGACACATCTGCCATAGAACTTCCTGGAAAGAAAAGAGTGTGGAGTTTTTAATTGACCCAAACTCTTTATCTAGGGGAAGGAAAGCAAAAGGTGGCTAAGCTGTAAAACACAGCAGCGTACGCTAGAAAATAACACAAGCCAGCTCTGCCGTGTGGTGTTCTCAGCTGCACGGCAAGCTCCAAGTGTCCACTGCGCCTTTCCCTGCCTGCAGCATGCTCTTTCTTCCCAGACCTCTTCTCACAACCAGCCTGTCTACTCCAGCCACCCCTTTTGTGGTTCCATTCCCAAATCACAGCAAAAGGTTTTATTCCCAGAAGTCCGATGCCGTGGCTGAACAACAGGCGATTCTATGGGCTGGCAGAGCCGAGTGTCACACAGAGAGCGCGGCAGGGTCGCAGCTCACAGCACTCGCTGCTCACTCGATGCTCCTGGTAACGGTACGGATGTTGAGCAGGAGTCTGAGTAGCTGTAGGCTGGAGAATGCAGACTCAGGATTTCAGCAGGGTTCAGTTTCAAAGTGCAGGCTGTCCCTGCAGCTTCCATTACGCATTATGTCATGGGTGTTAATTACACCATTATTTAATGTAGGTATTTCTACCACACCCAGAGGCTACCAGCTTTGGCCTAAGCACATGTAAACCCTTCAGCTGGCCTTCACCAGTAAGACCAGTAAGAACTCTACACTTGCTAACGTAACTACTGTGTTACAAACAAGTAGAGGAAGTAAAATCCAAGCCAGTACTTTGGTAGTTCCATGTCAAGAACTGCTGCAGCCTGTGCTGTTTAGACAGCCCTGAGTCTGCTCCCTGCAGGAAGGCTCCAGTTAACCAACCCCAGGCTCAAAGATGCACTGATTCACACGGCAATCTGCAGCTCTAAACGTGGGTAACGACAGCTCTTGGCTAAATGCCACACAAGCAGTTAGCTTGTTATTCAGTTTGAAATCAGAGCTGATAAAAACAAAAACAAAATAAAATCCCCCAACAACCTACTTAATGTAAAGCTTGGCAAGAACTACTAGCGATTAAAAAAGAAAACTGGCAGTAAAACGGAAATGAACATGAAGTCAAATTGGGTTACAAACAAGGCTATTAACCTTCTCACTGGTGTGTGCTGCTTTCTGGAGAATGAGTTTAACGACTTTACAACTTTCAGTCACAGGCATTCTATTAAATGTACACCAGCTGGGTTTTCTAGGTGTAGAGATGTCTAGCCTTTGGAATGAAGCCAAAAATGAGAAACTTCAGATCCAAATATGTTCTTGGAGAGGAGTAAGACATGGAAACTAGTTTCTAAGGAAAACACATTTCTGGACTAGTCATGAACATTCCCACAACAGGCACAGGAAGGAATCTGATGTATTTGAAACCTCCAAGTCCTTCCAGATCAGGTAGCGTTATGTCACTTCGTATGTGAGAAATTACAACCTCTCTCTGGTACGGCTTCATAAAGAATTTAGTATTTGCTTACAAAATGAAGCTAGCTGTTTGGGATCAGCTGATGATGAGCTAGTCTCTATTTCTTGGATGCAGAGTGCTCCTACGTACCTTTAGAGACTCCTGGGTTCTCTTGGAAGTAGGAAAGCTCATCATCCTGCTCACTGGCTGATTGTTCACGGCTAGGGAGCTGCTTGTTGGGCTCAGTGCTGAGCTCATCATTCTCTGCTTCAAGTTCTTTGTCCTCAGAATAAGATTTATCTTGTTCCTTGTAAGTGTCCGCATCCACAGCGTCTGGAGCACACACTGGGTGCTCAGCTGGGTGTTCAGTCTGCCCTCCTGGGGAGCCTGGCTCTTCATCCATGGCTGACTCCTTCATTGTAGCAGGATCAGTAACACTCGCATCACAGTTATTCTCATTTGCACTTTCCAAACCACTCTCTGAACCCTGGCAGAGTTGATTGCCATCCTGAAGGACATCATTTTGAGTCTTACATCTCTTCCTTGGGGGTTCTTCATCGCTGACAGATTGTGTGTCTTTTCCCAGCTCCTCCTCCTCCTCTCTGGAACACTCCTCTCCCATCTTTGGTTCTGACGGCAGGCAATCCTGCTGTGCATCTGGGAGAGCAGTGTCTGCACTTTGCTGATCAGAATCATCTCCTTTATTCTTCAGACACACTGAATGTAACAGCCATGGCTTGGCAAATACTATTGCAACCAGTCTTACAGCATGGCCTCCTACTTCTAAAACCTGCTGCATTTCAATCAAGTCCTATTAAAAAAGAAAAAAAAAAATCACAAAAATTGTCTCAGGAGTTATCACTGGAAAATGTCAGTTTAAACAAATATCACGGAATTGCCATCTTTAACTGGCAGTAAAGAAAGAGGAAGAGCCTAGAAGAATATTCAGTTTTCTGTCCTGCTACACTGAAGTTGAAAATACATTTTCCCCTTGAACTCTTCAGAAATTACAGCACAAGACTTTTTTTTTTTTTTTTTTTAAATTTAATTTAATTTAAAATGTGTCTGGTTTTTTTAGTATTTTGCTTCCAAAGGTGAATGTTGGTCCCTCTAGGTTTCTGAAACACTTCATTCCTATCTCTGAGTAAGTGCTGCTTTAATTTTTGGCCTTCCTAACTTTGAGGCGAGATTGCTATCAGGTACTGGTATGTGCTCTCTTGCCTACTACAGACAGGTTTCTTCAATTTATACATGCTTCCTACAGCCTGGAAGATTGTCTTCCAGGAGGAATAGTAAGCATGCAAACATTAATGTATGGAAAGCAGCTGGCTGTAAAACCACCTGAATGTACTGCTCCAAGCTCCTGGTGCGTTCAGGTTCCACCTCTTCGTAGCTGCAGAAACGCGTGCTCAGCTCAGCTTTGCAAATTCCAAAGTGGGAAGTTTCCTCAATTGCATTACGGATCTCCAAAACAGCAGCTACATCTCTGGGATTATAACCATAACCTTCTGTACACTCACGAAGAAACCGATCAACCTCGTAATTTTCTTCTTGGACTTTGATCAGCCTTGTAAAAGTTTCAGGGAGGCAGGAGATTCCCACAGCCATGTTATCCAGCAGAGAAGGAACTGCAGGGCAAGTAAAAACCAAGTGCATAAGCTGTGAAGCAGTTGTTAGTGTGCAATACACTACAGAAAGAGAAACATTCTGAGACAGGCAGATGAGAGGAGTTCTAGACTATTCCAATTAAAAATGGAGCTCAGTTTTCCACCTCCTTTGCTGCAGTTTCCTTTTTTCTTTCTGCCTTACATGTTTGTCTCTGAAAAGACCTATAGAAGAAGAACAAGCTGGTTTACAAGGGCTTACCCTCGTATCAAAGTGAAAGACAGTGTAGACTTACTGGTATTCTCTCTAACACTGGGTCAGCTTAACTCTAAGCTAATGAGGGAATCATCTCCTTATTTTTTGAAGAAGGTCCAGTGAAAAGTCTAGGGCAAGGAGATGCTATGGAGGACCCTATTAATCAAAAAATTGGAAGCGGCTGATCCATGGCAGAAAGCAATTGGCCAAACATGGTACAAACTACAAGCTGTCAATGTCTTAGTACAATCGGTGTAACAAACACCTCTGTGTTTGGAGACAGTCATCACTGCCCAAAGCTGGCCCCCACCGTACAGAGCACTCAGAAGCTGAGGCAGTGTAACACCTTTTTCCAGTCCTGGATGGTGAGAGGGCAGCTTTGGCGCTGCTCTTACCTGCTCCCCACCCTTTTATCTGCAGCTGCCTTGTGGGACACTCATATGACAGCTGCATTTCTTTGACAGCCGAGGAAAAATGAGACCAACTGTAATGAGCCATCAGCTCAGCAGAGCTGGAGGGCATGTGTGGCAGCAGAGATAGGAGAAAGAATTGCTATTTTACCTCTACCACAGCAGCAAGAGGAATGGGCAGGGACAGCACTGGACCCTCCAACTAAAGAGATAAACAGCTAAAGGCTCTCCTGGATACATTTGCATGACAGGGGAAAGGAAGATGCTCTTTAAGAAGGGAGAGTGCTGATAAATTGCAAATATTCAAGCTCTAAATATTATCAAAATGTTTAAATTGCTGTAGGTAAAAGGCCAGAGATCGGACACCACTAATTCTGGCACTTGCATGAGACAAGTAAATGTGAATTTCCCTTCAAGGAGCTCTGAAAAATTTTCTTTTCTCTTTACAGAGGAGGAAGTCTGAGTGTAACATAATATGGTATTTGCAGAAGGGAGTGAAAAACCTCCTGGAGAAGAGATATCAGAGCAGAGGACAGACTTCCTCTTTGGATTAATAGTTTCACACAACATGAAATACAGGCAACAACAGGCAAGGTTTTGTTACCAACAAAAGGTGCCTCTGTAAGTCAACCACCTTGTTTCAAGTCAGGAGAGAAAGCATTACAAGACAGACTGCATGGGTAATGAAAAAAGAATGTTCATATCAAGAGGCTTCATTCAAATCAGTTCCTCAACTCATGAGCTCGTTATCTTTCCTGCAACAACCCACTTCCATGCAAGTTAGGCCAGACAGAAACTAACCTGGAGAGCTGAGCCTTCCTGGAACTGGTGTACATCGCAGCTTAACCTTCACCTGGCAGGAATTGACCACGATATTGTCACTGGGACTCAGGTTGCGCGTGCTGACAATTCCAGGGGCGTAGTAGCCTCTCATCAGTAAGTAGTTGGTATGAGATGCTTGACGAGCTTTTACTGCTATTCTCGGTTTACCTCCAGAGCTGTCATCTAAGTCATCATCATCATCGTCATCATCATCCTCAAGTCCTTCTTTTCCCAAACTACAGCAAACAGAGGTGTGTGTTTGTTTTCCAAAATAAGAAAGTGACTCATTACACCGAGCAAAGCAAGAACCCGTGCTGTTCTGCATTCCAGTATTCAGTCATGGACAGCTGTGGGTATGTCCACAGCAGCCTGATTTTAAACTGCTGAGAACAGGCAACTATAGAAAAGAAAATGCACTACAGGTCCCTGGAAAGGAAACTCTTTTTTTTTGCAAACATGTTGAAATGAACCCAAAATCTCTCTGCTTACAGTGCTGAACTTCTTCGGCAGACGCTTCGCCATGAGGGAACGCCTGTCAGAGCACGAAGGCTGAGACCATAAAGGATACTGCGGTATAGGGCAGACAGTGGTTATTTTTAAGGGAGAAAAGAAGAAAGAATGACAGACCAAAGGCTTCAGTTACTTTAAAAAAAACACAAAACACACACAAACAAAAACAAACCCAAAAAACCCAACACAAAACAATCTGCAGACAGCCTCAAAGTAAAGAGAACAGTAGCAGCAGCCAGGATAAATTTCTCAGAAACAAACTTAGTCAAACCAATGCTATTTCATTCCAAACCACAAGAGTCATTATGGATAAAGGTGAAGGCTCTGAACAACCTCACCTAACTCTGAAGCTGCCTCTGTTTTAAGCAGATTATGCCAGAGACAAAGGTTCCTTACAACCTTTTCTAAGATGAAGCAGACCTTCAGTACCTTCTCTTAAAGCATATTCAAAAAACACATCATTTCAAAAAAATAGTGCGAGTACACAACCAGTTGAAAAAGGGGACTTGGACACCCGTACTCAGAACTGGGACTACTCCAGGGTTCAGTGGATTTTTGCTAATGACCTGGGTGATAAAATCACTTATTAAGTTCGCAGAGGATCACTGAGCTGGAGAGGCTGCAATTATATGAGAAGACAGGATTTGCATTCAGAACATTTCCAGCAAACTGGAGAAACAGTCTGGAAAAGAGAAACAATTTCGTACGGACAAATGCATGTTATTTATATTACAGTACTATGCACCTGTCCCCACCCTGAGGGGAAACAATTAACTAAATAAAAGAGAATAAACTTTTTCTAGTGAATTATAAGAATCTTTTTTTTTTGGCAAGGCAAGCCCACAGCCTTCCGTCACTTTGGGATGGATTAGCGGGCAGATCACCTATATACCATGATGTAATTGGCACAGACCTGCCAGCAAGAGCATGGCATTTGGTTTTTGACGTGACAGTTCAGTCCAGAGGAAAATAACAAGAACGACAGAGATCTGGAAAACATGAATGTCATACCAAAAACACAGCTAGAGGAACTGAGGCTGCTCATTTGAAAGAATAGCATATAATGGGAGGAGGACTATGATAACAATCTTCAAATAGCTGCTCGAAAGAGAACAAAGTATTTTCCATGTATATTGGCAATAAAACAGGAAGCAACAGGTTAAACCACAGCAAGAGATTTTAGTTGCACTCAAAGAAAACACATGATGATTGTGAGGATAACTATTCATAGGATTAGACTGCCTAGGGAGAGTTTCCATTTCAGTGGTATTCAATTACTGGAGGTTTTTGAAAAACAAAGACAAAAACCCAAAGAGGAGACAATACGTAGAAGAAATACTGTGGAGACAGGTTTCACTGAAAGCTGAAGCCTTGTTACTAATCCTTCTCAGCCCTTGAAATGGGAAGGCGCTAAGCTGCTGAAAATGCTCACCTAGCACGCACTGCTCTCCTTCCCACATTAGCGCTGATGGCAGTGAAGTGCCGAGCAATTTAAATGTCACGTATGTGAGGACAAATGCAGTCCCAGGCTGTAATGACAGGCACTAAATGAAGTGCCATTAAGTCTTCAGAATGCTCCCTCAGCAATAAAAATCTAAACAATATGATAGTAAAACATGCCACAATGCAGTGCAGAAAATGCTAACGCCTGTCCAATTTCAATCGTTACCCCCAAACCATATTTACTAACAGAAATAAGTGTTTACCTTTTTATCACTTCATTTTCCACCATAGTGCTGTCCACCACAACTATCTGCTCTGGGATTCTCACGTTCACACACACAAGCCCCAGGGAGAACAGGGAAAGCATCGCCACACACTGCCCACCAGGTCCATCCATAGGAAATGCGATCATGCCTTCTGAGGCTTTGTTCTCTTGATCTTTAAATGAGAAGTTATCCGGCTCGTCTGATTTTTCAGCATCCTTGAGCTTCTCGAAGAACTGAAAGGACTCTGTACAAATTGTACTGGGAAATCGCCACGTAAAAACTCTGGACAAAAAGACAAATTCAAAGAAGCACAAAACTTTCATAACCTGTTCTTTACTGTGTATGAGTTTTAGACCCACAGTAGCACAGAGCAGCCAAGTTACTACCCACCTGTAATAACTCTGAGACAGCTGATACGACATGGGTACAAAAGGCAAAGCCCGGCTTTTCTTTGGACCCAGCGTGTGGTTTACTCGACGGCGATTGACCAAGCTTCTCTTCTGACACTCTAGGAAAGCCTTCACAAGAATGTCATCCCGGTACTCCCGGTACAAACGGAATGTCTGCAAAAAAACCCCGTTCAGTGTAAAAGGCAGTGTTAGCTCTGAATCCACTGTTAGACTCACCTACTTGAGGTTTAAATGAACACGGAGCTACAAGCCAGAATGTAGATGATACTCATAAATTCACTTCACTACACTATCCTATTCCTTTTATAGGACTGCAAGCTTTCCCCAGTAAATGCCCATTAAATTAACTAAATACTACAGAACACTTGATACGCAAAATGGCATCAGGCTCCCACTAGAGTTATGTATGTAAAAAATCCTCATCTGCAACACATTTTGGTAGATTCTTCCCATCCTTTTACCAGGAACCCATATTTCTATGAGCTTGGCTTTCTAGGCTCCACTCTTGCCTGCTGATGAGATATTGAATTGAATTTGAATTCCTAACTTTATTAAGTGCCTGACTGATAGATGATATATTTTTGTGGCTCTTAATGCAGAAGGAGAGGCTGCCCAACACCAGTGCCAGCTGGATACCAGGACTGTTTTTGTGATATCTCCTCCAGAGCATAATTCCAACTGCTCAAGTGGGCACTAAATCATAACACACCTTGACCCAATGGAAGGGATGTGGAGTTTATTTCATACATTTTTTGGGGATTGCTTCAACCTCACATCTTGCAATCTCATCCTCAGAGAGAAAAGCAACCTACTGAAAATCTGCCTAGAATAGATAATTTCCTAAAAGCAGAAGAGAATAAACCCCACAGAACAGATACAAATCTAAGCTTCTGTGTTTTTTTTTTTCTCCCATTTGAAAAACATACAAATCTAAGCTTCTGTGTTTTTTTTTTCTCCCATTTGAAAAAGGTATATACCAAGGTAGGACAGAGGAACTCTTTAGGGTTGTATGACCACGTGTAGATGTGGCACTTAGGGCATGGTTTAGAGGTGGACTTGGCAGCGTTAAGTTTACAGTTGGACTTGATGATCTTAAAGGTCTTTTCCAACCTAAATGATTCTATGACCAGTAAAGTTTGGTCCGGATGCTGTACCTGAAATGACTGGCAAGATTTCATCTGGTTATCTGAGAGTGCCAGTGTGCTCTGAATCAGATTCTGTAGAACTAGAAAATGAATATCATAGATGCTGAAAGAAAAAAAGAAAAAAAAAAAGTTTATTCATGATGTTTTTTAAGCATGAGCTACCTAAAGATGCTGAAAGAAAAAAAGAAAAAAAAAATTTATTCATGATGTTTTTTGAGCATGAGCTACCTATTAAACAAGCACAAAAATATACCAATTCCATCACCTGCTTCTGCAATAGATGCATAAAGGCATGAGATCACTCCAGCTGAGGATCATTCATGTAAAGGAGCCCGTTACATTTTCCCTGGCCTTCCACCCTGAATTTTTGGATCAATCCAGATAATCTGACACAAACCAAAGTTCTCTTTGATAACATCTCCTCCTTTTAAGATACGGCACCCACACACAAAACATACAGTGTTCTCCTAATGATAACAGACGGTGGTCTGTTTTGAGAAGGTCATTGCTGCTGTCATTTTATTAATCAAATTTATAAGCTATGTCAGAGATTCCTACAACCTTGTGAAAGTATTCTTCTATTAATAAATTTACACACTGCAACAAACGGATGAAAAATGTACTGAATTAGAAGACTATATATGTATCTATATATATGTATATATAATGTATGACTTCCACAGATGTGAGGGCGGACGTGACCTTGGAGTCTTAATGGGAAAAAATGGTGCTACTGCTACTCACCTGCTTAGACTATCCTCTTTTGTGTTCTGATTTGTGTCTTCTCCGATTGCCAAAACTCGAAATCTAGTTAAGGGAATGGAAAGGAAAACACTGAAACAAGAGTCACATTCTATGATTTTGTACCAACCGCGAAACCCAGAGGCTGACAAGTGCAGCCGCTAATAAGGGCAGGTGTTGGAACAGCCCAAGGGTACTGTCTGCTCCAGCAGCCCTTGGCGTGTCAAAAATGAAAAGAACTGTCCAGATCAACCTCCCTCACTCCACTGAGATATCTTTTGACAGGGAGATAAAACACACGGACAGGAGACAGTACAGAACTGTATGGGTTTGCTGTTCTGTTGAGGTTTTGGACTTCCAGTTACCATCAGCAGCACTTTTGCTGTAACGTACAGCTCTTCCCAAAGTAAGAAAATTTACAAAGGTGCCAAATTTTTAATACTAAAATAGTTTGAGACCCCAAAATCACACTTCTCTCCAAGTGTTATTCATCACAAAAGGGCTTGGCGATGTGGGGCTGGAGAATGCTATACAAGGCTGAGCGCTCTTCTGTAACAAGTTTCAGCAGCACTGAGATGATTTAGCTGAGCAACCAGCTACCAACTCTGATATAAAATGGGGACAGCTAATCTGCAAAATGGTAGAGGAAAGTCTTCTATTGCTACACTTGAGTACCAACATCTCTAAAAACAAAGCTGAGGATTTGACAATTTAAGGAAATCTGACATTGTGAATTTCTGGTTTGAAAGTCTTACCTAGTGGTAAGAATGGTTTAAAATAAGCAAGCTTGTGCGAATAACTGAAAATCAGTTATATGTATTTAGGAAGTATGGATCTGAAAGAAACATTGCTTGTTGTATTTACTGAAATGTCTTTTGATACAAAAGATACTAAGAGTACAAATAACAGAGGGTGTAAGTCATGCATAGCAGAGAAGAGAGGTCTACTCTGAATTGCCCTCCTCTCTCACTGTTTCAGCCCATGTGCACAGCCAAAGGCACCATAGCTACAATACCTGGAAAAGAGTTCCTGCAAAGTATCAGGAATCTCAAGTTTGGGATTCCCCAGGGTCGAACTGAATTTCTCTTTTAGTCTTTCCACAAACTCTTTAAACTCCTTTGCGCAAACCTTTGAAAACGAGAGACAGAAATGTTATCAACCTCAATTTTTTAGAGTGGGAAGAGATCGTCTGGTTTTAAAGTGTTCATGGAAAATTCTAGTAGCAATAGCAGGTTCTGAATTATCAAGTCAGAAATAGTATCACAGACAAGACAAGGCATCAGAAAAGCTCTGTGGAGGTTGAGTTTGCTGGTTTACTCAACTGTTGCAGATTCTGTCTGTAATCACACTCAAGGCATCAGAAAAGCTCTGTGGAGGTTGTGTTTGCTGGTTTACCCAACAGTTGCAGATTCTGTCTGTAATCACACGACTATGTGCAACCCACCACAAACGTTTTCTAAAAACAATTGCACTGAATTAACAGCACAAGATCTCTTGCTAGAGCTTTGTTTAAGCTTCTGCTTAAGTCTTTTTTTCTCTTTGTACCCTTCACAATCTTTAGCGTGTTCTCCATTTAGTCTGCTTGTACAATCATGGCTTGGAGGATACCCGTTACATGAGAAGAACGGCCCTGTATCTCTCTGAGATACAGGGCCGTTGAAAAAAGTACATGAGAAGAACGGCCCTGTATCTCTCTGGAAACAAGTTTTTGTTTGCTTCCAAAAGCAGACTTTACGGATGGGGACACACGCATTTATTTCATCAGTGTCTCATCAGTGAACAACTGTTCTTCATTTAAACAAAAATGAATCTAACAACAGAACTGGCTGGGATTTTCTGGCAATAATATGAATTGTCATTCCTGGAAAAAAAGCAAAGAAAATCTTGCCATAACATCCCAGTTCTGAAAAAGTTTTAGAATTCAAAATATAATTGTTTGCACTGAAAGTGTAAACAACTTTTCAATTTGAAATTGTGGTTCATTTAAGCCATAAAAAGCTCAAAAATGAAATAAAATCTTTTGACTGATCAAATCAAGGCTTCTCTCATAAAATTTGCTTTCATTCCTGCACTCATCCACAGAAGCTAAGGCAATATTTCAATATGCAACTGGAATAAAAAATGAGAAGTTACAGATCAAAAATGTTTTCTTGCTCAGATAACAAGAAGGCTGAGGATTAAAAAAAATCAGTGCATATGGATACTCAGTCATGGATGTTTATAAACAAGCACATTGAAAAGCCAACATTTGTTGCACAGCAGTGCTGTTTATGTGCCTTTGGAAGGCTGCCTGTGTCCACTTTACTCTCAAAATAGCAATGATGCTGCCTTTTTACAATTATGCTATTCTTAACACAGCTAAGGGTACAAGGCAGATCACACTAATCTAAACATTGCAAGCACTCAATAACCCAAGCAGCATAAAGTACTCTGTGAGCTTTCAGAACACTTCCCTCCTACCTGTGGATCTTCATAATTATTTTCTCTATTCATGAAATCTTCAATGAGGGCTTTATCTTGGTAAACCTCCGCAAGGCAAACTCTGCAACAGATACAATTGAAGGTGTTGTACATGGCTGAAATTTTCCCAGTTCAATACTGATTTGATAGAACTAGGGTGCAAAAAAAGTTGAAATTTCTATTCACGTGAAATAAGACAAAACCATAGGAGAAGCATATCCCGTCACTTAAATTCAGGAGAATTTAGCCCATACCTAGAACACAGACAGAAACCTTACTTATAATTAAGATAGGTCTGTGGATTTCTGATAATATAACGAGCTCTTCGTCCAACGGAATGAGAAGTTTTATCGAGGGACTCCTCAAAGCTGGCATGCATGATATCCCGAACGACTTGCCATGGAACAAAGGGCCCTTTTACCTGTGAGAAGAACAAAAGTGTTTGGAGTTAAAGCTCAGCTTTTGCGTACACAAAGGGTGGTTAGAAGCAGGATGAATTCCTAGGAGTGAAATGCGTGTTCAGTACACAGACCCCTCAGGTCCTACCTTGGCATTTAGCACATGACTAGCAATGCGGCACAGCATGAGCAGACTGTCCTCTTGCACTGTCCAGGTGACACGCAGACGTGTCATTCTCTGCAGGGCACTCTGGTCAGCTTCGTCATGGTAGCGGAGTCTTTTGCTTTTTTCTACAGAATCCTCTTCTACCAAATCCAGAAAAAAACCCAGTTAGTTATCTCAGTACTACATGTTCTGATTAATTCAGCCTCCTGTCACAGGCAGTACCAGCACCAAGTGGAGTCTATAAGAATGAAAGACAAAGGCAGAGAAGGAAGTAGCAGTTGAGATGGTAAGATGCATTAATACTTCTCCCAGGAACGAGAAAACACTTTAGTTAGCAAACTGACTACCTGGAGCATCATACTACGAAGAATCTTTAAGCCAGCTATCAAAAGTTGATGGTGAATTGCAAGGAGTTAACCTGGTGCAGACATGATGACAATTTCTTTGGTGTGTACAGCACAGTAATGTAACCATGATCCACAGGCAGGCAGCAGCTGCTGTTTTTCTCCGGAGCTAGCATACGGCCCCAGGACATCTAAACCTCTTCGCTGAGAGAGGCAACCCAAAGAGATGGCCACCAAGTTTCCATTTCCCACACTATGTGACAGTCACATCAGCTTTTCTGAAGCAACTTATAGCAGGCGTGTGCATTAAAAAGAATGCTTCTTTTTCCTGATGTGTTAGTTACTTACCCTTCTTCTTCCTCTTTGTCTTCTTTCCAATGTCTTTCCTGAGCCTCTTCCTCTTTTGGCTTTTTCCACCTCTCACTCGTTTGGTTCGATCCTGGTTTGGTTCTTTACTTATTTCAATACATTCCTCTTTCTGGACCTGTGACTCAGATCCTACCTTTCCTTCTCCCAAAATATTAATTTTGTTACCTAAAATGACACATGTACAGTCATGGAGCTTTATAGCAATTCCATTCTACAATATTAAGGTATAAAGAGCAAATGCCAAAGTTTCAATATATTAAAAGACAGATGCCCTCTCAGCCTTGCCCTTTGTTAGCTGTGTCATTTCATGCCACTTCTCACCAGCTCACGCAGAATAAAATCCCACATAAATACAGAATCATCAAGTAATTACCAAGTCTAGCGTAGAGTGCACGAACACAAGGGAACTGAGCTGAGGTTTTATATTCAACCTGAAGCACTTCCTCCACCTTAGCTTAAATGTTAGGCTATGCAATTTTAACAGTGCCTAGTCATACAAAACATCGGTCCCTCTAGACTTTCTGCAAACTGCACATTGGAAATTACAAAGGATAAAAATTGTTCTATAGGAAAGGAAATTATTTACGTATCTATTTTACTGCCCCAGAAGCATCCTAGATCATTGTAAGGAGACAGGAACAACCCATCTCATCAATACTGGATAAAAAAATGATTGTTCCATATATCCAGAAATAGGGAAGGAAATTATTTATCTATTTTACTGCCCCAGAAGCATCTTAGATTACTGTAAGGGGACGGGAATAACCCATATCCTCCATACTGGGTTTGACAAAGACAGTAACAGCTATAGCACAGTTACAGACCCCACCACCAGCGTCACCAGCTTACCTCCAGTACTGAGTGGAAGGGGGTGTTTTGTTAAGAAGGTTTGGAGTCTCATTGTCAGTCCATTTTCAGAAACTGTATTTTCCTAAGACAAGACAGCTTTCAAAAAGGTGATATGCAAAAGGAGTGCATTGGTTTTAACATCACTATACATTATATCCTTTGAGTAGTGTTGGAAATAAATTTTCAGTGTAAAGGAAAAGATCCCTGGCTACAATGAACTCATTCGTCTTATTACTATCACATATTTGAATGGCTCCAGAGCTTTTCTTAAATCATACTGCAATGACCACTAGATTACAAAAGCTAGAACTTCAGCAAATGTCCTCAAGTTTAAAAGAAGTCATCACCAGAAAAGAAATGCTTGATTCTTTCACTGCTACAGAGGCTTAGCAGAATTTTCTGTAAAATAGTATATTTCAAAGCATTTTACACTCCAAAGGAACTTCCAAAAAGCAGAAAACCAAAAAGCAAACACAAACACCGAGTAAATGCCTCCTACACCATACTCTGCCCAGCTTACATCTGAACCCAAGCTGACTGCAAGGTGTTAGGAGTTCTGCCATTCTCAGCAAAAGCCATTTGTCTTGGGTGGAATTTGTTGGTGACAGAAGTTGGTCACAGTTGTGGAGAGGAAAGCCAGGACTGAAGAACTGCAGAAGGTGACAGAACAGCAGATGAAATCTGGACTGAAATGATCCTGCCTGAAGTCAGAACCAAGCAACTCCCATTTTACATATCCACTGCTCGGCTCTAGTGTGACCACTGCTTAGTGGGCAATTACAGACAGTTGTGTGACAGCACCCGTTCAATGCTGCGTAATGGGCAAAAAGCAAAGTAAATGTAAGCAATTCTGAGGCAAGGAGAGCAACACTATGCAGCTGTGTTGGCCTGAATGCACTACGTGATTCCATTTTACCCTTAAAAACGATATAGTAGAACTAGAATAGGTTAAAAGAAAGGCAAAAAGAATGGTTAAAGGCAGAACAGGTTCCATGCTGGGAACAGTTAAATAATTATAGTAGTAGATGCCAGTCTTTAAAATGAGATGACAATGGGAAACATGACAGACATTTACAAAAATCAAGTGAAACAGAAAGGATAGTGGAGAATGGTATTTTTTACAGCTTCCCTTAGTACTACAATTATTAGGGCGCTTACTCCATCAAAAGGAAGTGGTGACACATAATGGACTTTGAAACACTTTGCTACATGATGTTGTGGATAATAAAGGATTTGCATGTGTCCAAAAAACAATTAGACAAATTAATGCTAGAAGAAAAAAAAGCTATTAACAGCACTGAAACATCACCCCCAGGTTTAGAATGGCCTTGAGCCAAACTTGCAGACAGCTGGGAGAATATTCTGAGGAAATATCACTATACATCTCCATCTCTTACAGCCTTCCTCACAAATCTTTTATAGGCAACCCTCATAGAGACAGGACATTAGGCAGAACTGGGATGGCCATTCTGATTTGCCTGTGTTGGGCTTCCTGGTAATTTTTTTTCTGTGTGTATTTCCTTGTCTGGATGTTTCAGTTTTCATCTGAGAACTGCATTTCAGAAAAGCAAGAGGCACCACCAAGTAACCTAAATTGCTTGCTTAACGAAGTGTTTCTCATTTGGCTGAATGTATTATCAAATTCAGTTCAGATAAAATTTACATTCAATTATTTCATTCACTTCAGCACCAAGATTTACCACATTTAGCAGTCATTTCTTTCCAGTGATGCAAAGCCTGACTGAGAAAGCATGCAAGCAGTAAGATTTTGCTACCAGTATCTCAACCTTAAGGATACTAAAATTTGGAAAAATCATTACAATATATAAATTTTAAAATACCCACCTTCCTAGTCTTATTGATGATGTAGCTTGTCCAGATCCAGTTGCGTTTTAGGTGCCCATAAAAGCTGGAATCCAGACCTGCAGCTCCCAACCCATCTCCAGGGATAGTTCCATCATCAACCACCTCTCGGCTGCCTCTAAGAGAAAGAGTAACAACACAGACAGTAATTATTTTGTAGGGAGTGCCCTCTCAGCTGCTCTTAAGTGATGCGTGTGCAATGCACAGAACTCTCCTCTAAGTCAGACAGGGCTAGGAAAAGAGAGGAGAAAGATGTTCCTTCCCTTAGCCCTGTTCCAGAAGTAGCATGATAACAATGCTCTTCCATTTAGTTTTAATCCCTGATATTTAACGACTGAGCTTTCATTTTAACGATTACACCCAGAGCTATTGTTAACCGAGTTCCAATGGCCATGTCAGACCCTGTTCTCAGCACTATTCCTGCTACTGAACTAGAGAAAATACCTGCTCAGATGAAAAACTTTCTCAGGACAAGTGTGGGGAAAATCCCCCCCAGGAACTAGAGGCAATCATAACCCTTTTTCACACTGACTGTCAAGCACTGGTCTCTCCAGTTTTCTAATAAATACATTAAGGCTTGTTTAAAAACATATACAAGCCAGAAAAACAATGCATTGCAATTCTCTCCCTGGAAAGAGGATGACAGTAAAAATAAACAGTACGTAATGGATGAACTGGTACCCTTCACAAATGGGCTGTTTAATTATTACTGTGGTGTTACGGTGCTGAATGGAAAAAAAAATAAATACAACACTTTGCAAAAAAAATCATGGAGACAACCTACTTCTTCTTCTTAAAAAAAATCAAGCTATGAATGAGCGCTGCATATGCAGTAACTATGACAGCTCTGACAATCCACTAGTAACACCAAAGAGTATTTCTGAAATCCTCTTTCGCCTTATGAAAGATCTTTTGAAAGCTACCATGAAAAAATTATTACAGTCAAGCTTTCAATAAACAACTCTCTCATGATAACATTACACCATCAATTAAATGCAAAAACTGCTTCTTGACCTTAAAAATGTTGCAGTCATCTCCAGCCTAACTGCAAGTCAGCACCAGGCAGCCAATTTAAAGGATTTCTTACCATACAATAGAGACTGTATGTGAAAGCTGACAAGTGGACTGAGCAGGATTTTTTTCAATCAGCAAGGACCAGGGGAATTAGGTTTCCTCAACTCCACTGATTTTTTTTAAAGATAACGTGATATAACTACCTGTAACACTGAACTAACTGAAAATACAACGGACTGTGTATTAAACCAAAACACTGACAAAAATAAACCACAACGCACAACACAATGTAGAAAGTGTAAGTGGCGTTCTGCATGGCTGTCACAGGTTGTGAGGATACAATCCTCTCAAGTGTTCTGTTTGTGATTAGGCAGAAGATGAAGTGCGCCAGAGATCACTTCCAGATTTCACTGGTTTACACCAATACCATATTGGAATCTGTAAACAGTGCGCAGCAAAGTGCTACACAGAGGGACAGAATTCAGAATGGGACACTGGGAACTCCTGACGCTACAGGGTACCTGAGACACCCTGACAGAAAGCACAGGAACTGAGAATCTCTAAATTTTTCCCGGACACTAACTGTAGTCAGGAAGCACTCCTTCCCTCTCAGCTTTGCTCTCCCCAAGACTCTTGCAATACACATCTGTACAACTTCGGAAGGAAGCTTGAATCTGGCTTTCCCCTTCCTCTAGCATAAAAACCTGCTTGGTAGACAGGCTACTTGTTAACATGATGCATAACTACGCATTTTTCCAACCATATAGCCTCTAAACTACACCACCCTCCCCCAGCACTGGAGTCTTAACTGCTTTTGCTGTTGAGTGACTCTCTCCAAACCCCAACAGTTCTTTTTGCCCCTCTATCCAGGCAACAAAAGAAGGAAGAAGATGACATACGTGGTGTATTCCAACATGGCACACTTTCGTTCCAGATTGTGTTTATCCGCTGCTGACTCTTGTTCCATTTCCACATCTAGTGCCGTCTCTTCCCCTTGAAGATTACTTTTCTTTGAACGAGGACAGCGGACAACTCCTGGACATATAAATGGTTTCTACGGTCAGCATGAGAAGACAGACTTCAACCCATTTTCAATCCACCCTGCTACAGCAAACTACAGCTCCCAAACAGTACTAACACTCCTTGTTAAAACACGCTGCCTTCTCACAGAGGGTAATGGTGTTCTGGTTAGTTACAAGGCACTAACTTATCCAAAATCATATTCAGGACAGAAGTAATGTGAGGCTGGTGCCCTTTGTAAGGCAAAAACTGCAGCAGTTCACTGATACTCTAGGCATGAACCACAGCCTTTCAGATATTCAAACGTGGCAACGGTCCCCTCAAGAAAAGATGCAGCAGGTTGTGACTGTTGAAACACAGTGTGAACATTGTTCATGCCCGACACGTTCCTGCTGGAGATATGTTCAGGATAAAGTAGAGGAGTCAGGTGAGTGTTTTATATAATAACAGAACTCAAAGGCAGGAAAAAAAACCCAAACAATTTCTAGCTTACTACTGCTTTTTTGGCTGCTCACGCTACAAAGATAACAGGGGACAGGATCTCAGGTGAGCATCTGATCTAGAAGATCAATATAAATTCAAGTACAACACAGAGCTTCCATAAACGTGCCAGCTGGGGAAACAATATCATTCCCATAGTTTGGGGGCTAAATGTAATCATGGTCTGACTAGCCTGCAAAAGCTGCAACCAGCACAAACATGCTTCCGCTTGAAAAATGCATAAGGAGCATTTCACACATAGCTGCTTCAATGCAAAAGCAGATAAAATTACAAATAGATCCTTCTGCCTGGCTGACTAAATGACACAAATACAGAATAGCACTGTCTGTGGTTTCAGGAGCAATTTCTTCCCTCCACATTTTTTTTTCTTCTTGTAGCTGTAGGTCCTATTTAAAAATGTAAAAGGACAAAACACAGAAATAAACTCCAAAAAACTGGGGTGCAGAAACTCCCTTAACTTCCACTTCTCATCTGATTCAGGCTCTCTAATAGGAGGTTTAGCAACATGCTTCTAAGGAAAAGGGATCTCTGCTTAAACCGGCAGAGACTGTGCCAAAAATATACTAGTAACTATTTTCAAAAGGCTTTTTCACAACTGGATTAAAATCTAAGAGGACTATTATCAAACTTGATACCTCTAACAGGACAGCAATGTTCTTCCTTCAACGCTCATCTAAAAATTTCAAGAGGATCTCAACTTCATAGGATTACCTGGACAGACAGAACTTCTAGCTTTTTTCGATGCAGAATGCAACCAGCCAGGAGAACAAAACATTGGAAGTGACAAAACAGAGCCTGCCTCAAGTTTCAGGAAAGGAGGAGGAATTGTGGTGTGAAGAGAACAAACAGCAAAGGTGGTAAGAGTGTCCAGTTATCCCATACCCAGTGGTGTATTGAGGCAGACACACTGCAGATCAAACCAGAAGTTTTCCACATCCTGCATGGTGTTCAGAACGTACAAGCGCCTCTCAAACGGGCGGCTGCTTTGAGCCAGGTTATAGTGGGGGTCACAGATAGTGGTATCAACAATCACAGCGTTTCTCTTCATATAGACAAAGACCTGTAAAACACAGCAGATTTCAGGCTGCTAGGCGAGAATCACTGAAATTGCCTAATTCACAGGACACACGACCCGAGGACGGCTTAGCATCTTCTCAGTCTTTCTGATTTTGAGCCAGTACTCTGACAGAAGACACCCCCACCCTATTGCATTGTATTCCCAAACTTCCCTTGCCAGTGATCCAGAAATTTCACTTCTAGATTTAGAACAGTTTCTCTTCCCCCTTGTGCACAGAATATTCCAAGTTTCCACAGAGAGCGATTATTTCCTACAAGTTCTCATTCAGAATTTGAACAGATGTGGTTTGGGGCCCAATTATCTTCCTCATCCTCATAAAGTACATGGTGGGACTGCTTCCTCCTTTGCATAAGCTCTCTATTTATAAAAAGATGCGCGTGAATGTCATTATTTTACTCTGGTTTTATTCTCTGTCAGTCACCCAGTGCCTAACACCTTGATGGAAAAGACTGTGGCATGCTCATTTTTCATGAAGTGCTGCCAGTCCGGAACCTCCCAGATCACTGTTGTGTGCAACGTTCAGCATTATACATTTCAGTAGTGGCTTTCCAGAGAAAGAGGCAAAATATCTGCACAACTTGCAATATGTCACTTGGATCTGGAGGTTTGCATATACATCTGAAACATCAGTATTTTACTTCACTATTTAAGATATAGACAACCCTAAAATCTTGCATTTATTTCACTGAACACAAACCATGAAGAATAATAGTTAAATTAAAAAAAAAAAATTACCTGGTCTTTGTCTTGAAACTTCTCTGTTGGGCCAAACTGTATCAGTCCCATATAACATAATCTCTGAAGGTTTTCTACCACTGAAAAAATGTACCTCCTGCAGCAATATTAGCAGTATTACAATTAGCACTCATGAAAACAGTAAAAACAATACCAGAAAAATGCCAGTTTCATGCAGCAACCTGTAGCTTCAGGAAACTACTGCTTCTTTTGAAATACTGGGGTTTAGAATTTCTCAGCTGGTATTTTTTGTTTGAATTGTCAGCCTATGGAAAACACATAATATCCCAAAGCTCCAAATTTCCTTACCACAAATCACAGACACAATATTTTAGCCAAATACTAACTAGAATTTTGCTAGCAATTAATAAAATTATCCAGAAATACTCTATGTGAACATGAATTAAACAAGGTCAGAACAACAGCAGATCTGCAGCCGATTTCATGTTATGAAACGAAGACATGAGTAGATAAGCCTTCACATGCCTATATATAAAGAACTGGGCAATGATCCTTGTAGTTAGGATTGTTTAGAATTACTGCTCCAAGAAACTCCTTTCAGTTGCTTACAGCTTTGGCAGAGCAGAAAGTGCAACATTCCCCATGCTGTGTATCCACTATGTGGCAAAATTCTGGAAGTTTCAGGAAACTTTTGCAAGATGTAGTTTCTGAGAGAGAGTTTGGCAAAAAATTAGCTTTGCCCACCTTTAAGTTCATCAAGATCTAAGTTTTTCTGTGCAGTGAAATGGGAATTGGATTTTGGCAGGAGTTTTCTCTAGGGCTCTGAAAGATCATTTGACAAGCCCAGAAATATTGAAGCAAATTTGGTCGAGTTGGAAGTTTTAGCGAATGGAGGGCAAAGAGACATGGTTGTATGTCACACTATTTTGCATAAACCTATCAGATGGAACCTGCAGGTTTCAGAAAATACCATAAATCCAGTTTCCTTGTTACTAAGATTGTGCAAGTAGTAGGCTGGGAATTGCAAACCTGAGCTGACCACGACTCTCGACAGCTGATATCGTCCAGCACTGTTTGCTCACCAGTGACATGTTTGCAGGTTTGCAAAATGCTGTAAGCACCTCCAGCCACCCAAACCTGCGTTAGCAATGACTTTCCGGGGACACTAACACGGTGCTGTTGATTCCACATATTCAAATCACTTTCCTTTAATGCTGCTTTCCCTTCCTACCTCCAGTCCAATCTCAACTTTTAAATCTAGATGAGGAATGGCCAACAATGGCAGACGTGCCAGGAGAGCATGAACAGAAATTGAATGGTATGTATGAGGCAGGAACTGGGAAACGTGGCATCTCCTGAAAGATTTATGAAGGACAGCAACATTTAGACTCCATTAAACTCTGAATTTAGCAGCAGTTGGGAGGGTGTTTTATACAGAAGCAACATCCTGCTGATGAGTTATGAAGGACAGAACCTTCCAGCTCTCAAACACTGCCTGACAGCATGCATGAATATTGTTTATTAGTTTCTTATTACCTTATATTTGGGAGAGAAAAATACAATTTGGCACACTATCCTCAGAAGATTGATGATCCTTGTCTGAAGTAACAAAGTTCTCTTTGACACAAACAGGAAATAACTGAAAAAACGGTCAACCACTCGTGTTTCTTCCCTAGAGCCATTTACTTTGAGCCATCTGCTTACCTTTTGTAGAGAAGCTGCTGTCGGACTGACCTTGGAAGAAATCTGATCAGGGTGTGCTTTTTTAGCGGATCATTTAAAAAATCTTCTAGACCATCCACCTAGAATTATTTTAGAAGTTAATTAAAATGTGAAATACAACTATCCTTTAAAAGTATCATGCTTTGGTACCAGAACTGTCTACTGAAATACTTGCTAAGCAAATGTTACTGCTTTTGTAAAATGCTCACACATTATTCTTGTTAATCAATGAGGTAGAAGATTCAGTGAGATTATAACAAGCTCTTTGCAAGATATTAGCTTAAGAATATGCAGTATTACAGGGCTATACATTTTTTTCAGAGTGTCTGTAAAAGCAACTAACTTTTCTGTAAAAGAAACTAAAGTGTCTACTCTCTGATGGCTAGTTTTGCTACAACAGACTAAGAGGATATTTGTTACTGCTTATAGGTACAGTTGCTATCATCAGACTTTAAGGTAAAACAAATGTAAACCACAAAAAGCACTATACCTTGTAGCTGACTTGTACTATCTGAACAAAGAGCGAGAGAGGCAAGCAGAGAAGAATGTCACTAACAAGAGCCCATCCGTATCCAAACTCTCTGTGAACCGGGAGCGGAGGGACGTAGCGCATCCACGACACGTCATCCACGTACACTAGGAACACAAAGACTGGCTCAGATTCAGACGGGACAAACCTGACAGTTATACTAACAGTTCTACTGCGAGTGTTCAAGCAGAACACATTTGGCAGTTCATACTCTGGAAATCTGAAAATCTGAAAATCTAAAATGACCTGAAAATTATCTAAGCCATTGATTTTCAATCTTTTTTGAAGTAGACTTTTACCTTTTTTTTCAGTGTTGAACCATGGCAAAGTCTGTAGTAAAGTCAGGATGTGCCCCTTCTTACCTGTTTGATTGGACAACTCTACTTCAGTCTCCTGTGCAGGATTTTCAGGATTCCCGACAGTTGTCGTAATTTCCAAGGTCCCATCGGGTTGTGCTTCAAGTACAGCTGCATTCACATCCAGCCCTTGTTTGCTGCATTTTTTCTCACCATCACTACCTCCTTTTTGCTGTGTTCCATTTAAAGGGTGTCCATAAACTAAGTACCAGAGGAACATGTGGACCATTCTTAAACGGGGCATTTTGGGAAGAAAGCCAAGAGAACGCCCAAGTCCTGGCACTGGGAGGGAAAATTAAGTACCAAACAGAAAAATAAGATTAGAACAGGAGAATTAGCTACCTCTGCAAAACTGATGTGAAGAAAACTGGAAGGAAAGATGGGCAGTTGACATAAATATAAGCTACAAATATTAATTCACAAGTAGTAAAGAAGTAGTAGTGACTAGAAATACTCCAGTTCACAATGTAAAAAAAAAAATAAACAGCTAATAAAACATTGGATAGTGAGATTGCTTTAATGTAAACCCCATTTTTCTTCTATAAAAGAAGAAAAAACCCACTTGTATCTTAGGAGAGCCCAACATCTGAAAGTGATTAATAATAAGAAATGGGGCAGTGAAAGACGACAGAAAAAACGAAGTTAACTGTACCTGTAACAGGGTGATAGTTTTTCAGCTGTGTTATGCCCATTTTGTCATCAGTTTTTCTTGCACGACTATTATTATCAGCTTTACCCGAGTTTTCTTGTGTTTCTCCTGAATCAGGAGCTGGCTCTTGCCCCAGGTTTTCTTCCTCAGCATGGTCCTGGGATGTTGGTGTCTGGGGAACTTTAATCCTGTATTTAAACCATACAACACTTCGGTAAAAATTCAGCAGGGTTCAATTTCCTGATTTCAGGAGATGTCTCGCTTCATCTTTCTGCTTCCATTTCTCTATTGCTAAAGAGATTTTTCTTTTGCTTCCTTTCTGTTTATTTCCTCTGCATGTTTTTGCATGCACTAGATAAGTCAAGCTCCCCAAAAGCCACCCACACCATCACTGCAACTTGCCTGTTCGCGGTGCTTGAATTGGAGATTCGGAAGCGCACCTGCTCAATGGCACTTTTTACAAGGGGATCATTAGGACTCACTGAAGGATGCACAACAAACTCTACCTGTTCAGGGCAGCAGAAAACAAACAAAAGGTATTTATGGAGATATTGGCTCTTAATCACCTGCATAAACGATCAGACATTAACAGACAGTTAGTTAACAGTAGCCACAATGGATAAATCCTATGAAGGTTTAATAATTCACAGAATATTAACACTTTTGGATCAAAACTCCTGTTGCTAGTTTCTGTTAAGCAAGAGGCCAGACTGCATGGTCTCTGCACCAATAAACAGTCAATGTCATTTCTACAAACCTCATTTATTTGTATTTTTAAAATCTGAAAAATTTGGGCAACAAACACTTCAACTTGCAAATATCAGGCTGAAAGGGATGAATGAAAAGCCGTACTGCCTCCAAAGGCCAAACTGATACATACTGTTGCTGAAAGTACAGACAATTCAGATTAGTAAGATTTCGTACTGGCTCTACAGTAATTGCCCAGCAGGTGATTTTTCAATTGATTCTCTCTGCTTATGAATATTTCACACTAGAGTTACAACAACAAGCCTCAGCTTTACAACTACAGACATTTAACTTCCATAAACTTCAAGAACAATTTTTTTTTTGTTTTGAAAAAACAGATTATGTTCTATAAATTTCAACTCAGAAGCTAACTTATGATTTCTCATATTCTCTTGGCTTTAAAATGGGGATGAAATAGAAATGTGTTGCAGCCTGACAGTGCAGGGAGAGAACCATGAACTGCATAATTGATAAGCAGCAGAACCTCTCAGAAGGGAGATGCAGAGACTTTGATCTCTGGACTATTCCTTGGTCTCACAATTATCTGCGGCATGATAATTGAAAGCACTAATCTGGTTTTCACAGTAGCTTAGTTTGGAACATGTAGCTTCTGGGCAGCTCCACTGTGGGTTCTGCTACAAAAATCAAAGTCACCCATATATTTCAATAAAAAGGCCCAAAACCTCTTGATAAGTCAGAAGGTTGTGAGAAAAGCTGCTTCTGGTGCCAGGGTTTGTGCAGTCACCTTTTTACTAATGCCATCCTGAATGACTGTAGTACGATAGAGCCTGAGGAGCCCTTCTCGCGCAAGCTTCTGCACCAGTCGGACGATAGACTTTTTGCAGCATTTGGTGGAGACACCTTCTTGCTTCTCTTGATCCATGACCATTTTCTGAAGCCTGAAAGATGCAAAAAATACCTTGCATTTTAGGCAGTTTGGAGCATTACTGGGCTTAAGCAGTTAGAGGATGTGGAGTGAATGGTATTTCCCTACTTCTAACAATTACTTTTCCCTTTTGCTGTAGGCAACTGGTAACAGCTTTTAATTTCAGCTGTATTTTCTATATAATCAAGCTTATCCTTTTTACGTAAGGACTGCTGTTCTCAATGCCAGATTTCTCTGTTTATGGCTACAGTGCAATTAGAAAAGAAAGAAAAGAAAAAAAGAAAGAAAACTTATGCAGATGAAAGAATCCTCAAGCAGGGAAGTGCTGTATCTTACTGGCACACCATGAAAGGAAGAAAAAAGTTCTCTGATCTCTATTTATAAATATAAATATAAAAATTCACTTGTGTAATTACCTGTACAGAACTAATATTGCTTCCAAATAGCTGATTAACTTTTAAGATCCAGTATAACTGCAGGCCCTCCCCCTTCCCTGTGCCGACATCACAGCATGCAGTGCCATCGGGGACAAGAAAGGCCACCGATGGAATAAGCATCACTAAGGTAGTGCTAATGCTACCAAAATGCACCAGTTCCCCAGTACGCTGTTCTCAGAGGGACTCACGTGAACAAGCTTTCAATTAGCCGGAGGTTTCGAACAGCTTCCACAATGAGATTTCGGCGCTTCAGCAGCCTGTACGTTTCGTGAGATCGCTCCACCGCTGTAGCTTTGGAACGCTTTTCCTTCTTTTGGCCACAGGTCTTCTAGCGCACAGTATGGACAAAACAAAAATGTGACATGAACTATTCAATGTCTTCAGCCTGACGCTGGTTCCTCACACAGCAGCAGTTGAGGAATTCAGAGTTTTGATGTATTTATTTGTCACAAACTAGTCAGGTGGGGATTATCTTTTATATCCTCTTCACAGGCAGAAATTAAGATTTTTGTGCGGTTAGATGCAGAGATGTATGCACTTTCTCTGCCCATCCCACATTCTGAGCCATTTGGATTTGAGAGTTTTGGCCTAGAAAGCTGGCAACTGCCTTAACATTGTGCTGCTGAGTCCAGCCCAACATGTCCTGTCTCTCAGAAAGGCTTCTTGTCCCAGGCTCAGTCCTGCTGCAGTGAGCCTACACAGCTTCCACGTTGGGACCCATTTGTTCCTCCTGGTTGACAGCAGACAGCCCAGATGATATGCAGCACTTGTGTGCAGACAGACATTATGTGATGATGTGCATTAAGTCAACACAGCGAATTTGGAGAGCACCAGGGAACTAACTCAGGACTGTAGTTTGGACATCTACCTTCCTATCTCCTGGAATAATTTTCACTTATAATTACAATGCAGCCAAAGTACGAATGTACATTGAAATTAAATTTAAAAACCTAAACCAATCCCATAAATTAATACAAAAACTATAGCCTGAAGTCTTGCTGTAAAAGTACATAACTTAGGTCAGACAGTCATATCAACAAGAAAATAAGATGTGATCTTACCTTCGGGTCTTCAAGTCTGACCTCCTCCACCACAGCCAGATCCCCGTCTTCATCGGTGGAATGAGCACAGGTGGAAAGATTGGACTCCTGCTTTAGAGCTTCCAAAGTAGAACTCTCCCCCAAAATGCTGTCTGGGAGCTCATCGGTCTCTTCAAGAATTTGAGGGGAAGGCAGCTTCTTCCCCTGAGACTTCACCGCTGCTGGCTTTGAGCCTGCTTTAAGAGCAAACAGCCTCATAACTGGTCTGCTCTCACAGTTTCCTGTAAATGTTCAGCTTCTTTCTCTATAAAAGGCTTTCTCCCACCCACCCAGGTAAGCGTACTTAAAAGCATTCTGCCACATTTTTCACATCCTTCTGCCCTGCTGGAAGCAATGGTTTGATCATGAATGACTGCATTCAGCCTCCCAAAGTAAAGTTTAAAAAAAGTGAACTCCTTGTCATCAAATAATTCTCTCCATGCAGAAGCCTCTTCAGAGACAGACTTAGAAGACCACGAAGGGCCAGATCATCTTATCCAGAAACTGCTGTCTGAAGAAAGGAGAGTTTCTGTCATACAAATTCTCAAGGTCTGCCAGAAACATGACTCTTCTGACTCAAAGCAGAAGCTGCTTTGAGAACAGGGATTTCGTATTACTCCAGAGATAATCTACATAAGGAATGGAGATCTGTTCTCCTCTCTCCCTTTGGAGTTTCTCAGAGAAGTTTTAGGAACATTCAAGTAGTTAAAATAAATATAATAAACCAACAAATGCTCTTAAAATATGTTCCCCCAAAAGGCTATCAGCTTTCATATGAAGATGTTGTAAATAACTAAAGAAAAAGATGAAGCAATTAACTTCCGGAGACAAGGCATTTTTGTTACAATATGCTTAGGTGAGCACAGCTGGGGGGCAAGCCATCCTAGCCTACTGCTGCTTGAAGGCAGTTAGTTATCACCTTATCTAGTCTCAGACAAGAAGCCAGTATTACTCCATGTAAACTCACCCCACTTGACATGGAAATAACTAAGTGTAAAAATAAATATATGACCAAAAACCTTTAGCAAAAGCTAATAGCATATTATTTTTTTCTTTAATAAAAGGATCCGTAAAAGAAATGCAGGGTTCTCTCCAAATTTCAAAATCATGATCTACCTTTAGCTGGTGTTGACTGATGTGCATCATCTTGGAAACTTAATTTCAACAGAGAACCAGAGTTGTCCTTCTGAGCTTTTCCTCTCTTCTTGCCATCTTTCCCTTCTTCTTCATGGTCAGACTCGGAGACCACAGCATCATCTTCCCCAGGAGACACATCTGCCGCAGGTGGGGAATCTTCTGGCACTAGAGCCAAAGTAACTGTAGCTAACTGCTCACTCCTGGCCTTCTCTCTCTCAAACTGACGGTTTAAGTCACTCTCCTCCGCAAAAATATATGAAATATACTTTGTTGTCCTTTGCCGACCTTCATCTTCCATAAAACCCTAAGAAAATAGTTGGAGTGTTATTTTGCCACCATCCTTCTCCATTCTTGCACTCTGTTCTCCAGCATCAACAATGGGAAAATTTGCTAACTGTTCTTCCCTCACATCAAAAGATATTAGGTTATTCTCCTTTTCTTCTAAATAACAAAAATGTTTACTAACGTTAACATATGAAAATCAAAAGGAATACCATGCTTGAAAAATAAATATATCTGCATTACCTGCATACTCAAAATGCCTACAGTACGTGGGATGTAGAAAAGTCTAAGAACAAACTGTATGTGTTCAGATGGGAAACAAATTTTTTTTTCAGAAAAAATTATGTGAAATAACCACAAGGCAGAAATTTCCAGAGTGAATCAGACTTATGTGGAACTGCTGTTGCCCTGTCTACTGTAACAGGTGCTCTCAAATAGCTAGAAACTCAAACGTTTTACCCTTATCAATAAGGGAAGATTTCATTTTCACAGTTGACTTAGAAAAAAGTATCTTTAATTATTCCACTGGTTTATATAGTTTGATCGTTTTTAATTCTACAGAACTTTTTACCAAATGACAAGATCTTAGTAAAAAATTCCCTCTTGAGGGAAGATGGCAATTATCCTGCCCTTGTGAAAAGGGGCATGCAAGAAATGACAGCTGAATTTGTAAATCTTGTTAAAATGAAAAAATACTGAAATACCTGGAAATGAGGAGTTTAATCACCATAGCCTCTACAAAAGTAACTGTTTTTTTCCCATAATGTACTGGTATTTTCAAAAGGCAAGTAGATTAATGATTTTAAATGTACAGAGGGTCACTGACAAAATCCTTCAGTAGAGGATCTTGCAGAACAGAAGTTCTCTTACAGCCAAAACCAAACTGCTGTTTCCATTGGTTAAGGTTAACAATGTTATAACATATTACCACAGTAACCACAAGTGTATCTCCACTTTCAGTAAGTAGCTAAATGATTTTATTTTAACCTTACCTTGACAACTTTGTACCTCTCCAGAAGACGACACAGCATCCTTGCTTCTAGCTTCCCCACATTCATAGCCAAGCGAATTTCTGCCTGAGAAATACCTTTGGTTCCCCTACTTTCAACTGTTTTAGAAAGGAAAACCAGAAAATATCTCAGGGAAGTAAATTGACCGAATTTTTTTTATATATATATATATATAGCATATATAT